TATATCATGTTTTTCCTGCTGGGAACCTAACAGATGAAACATTTTATATGCATTAACACATTTAATCTTCTCAATGTTATCCTCATTTTACAGATTAAAAAAACTGAGGCACAGAAATTTCAAGTAACTTAAAAAGAATACAACAGCTAGAAAAAAACAGAATTTGAATTTGTATCCCAAAGACTCTAACTCTACCATACATGCACTTTAATTCTACACTAGATTATTTCAGGAACTAAAGAAACAGAGCTCTCTACTAAGCCTACCATCAAACCAAAGCCTAACAACAAAAATTCTGTGGTTCTGTATCCTCTAGAAATTTTGCAGGCCATAATAGAACAGGTGAATCAGCAAAACTTCTACTATCTTTGTAATAAAAGTAAAATGCTCACATTTAATCTTTTCATTCGATTCCTTCAATAACTTTAATTTCTCACCTTCTTTTCCCCTTGCATTTTGTTCTCTCAGTTACCTTGCTGCAAATTTCTACATTTATTCTTTTTGATTACTTTCAAATCACAATATACTAAATATCTTTATTATGTCAAACCCTGAGTAGAACCTAAACTGAATGAGGAAAGGTCTTTTTATCTGTGCACTGCTATATTCCCAGCTTCTACATGTCTATTGTAGAGTAAAAACATAAAAAATTATTGATTAAATCAATACTTCTTTATCTACTGTATTCTTTTTTCAAGGAATTATGTATTTGTGTTTTCATTGTGTTTGTGTTTGTACATTATTGCTCCATCAAAAAGGCAAGGCCGTGAGCCATTTCCCCCAGAATTCTGGGGAGTGATCATTTTTAAATGATCTAACACATTTCTTTTTTCTTTTCTTTTCTTTTTTTTTTTTTTTTTTTGAGACGGAGTTTTGCTCTTGTTACCCAGGCTGGAGTGCAATGGTGCGATCTCGGCTCACCGCAACCTCCGCCCCCTGGGTTCAGGCAATTCTCCCGCCTCAGCCTCCTGAGTAGCTGGGATTACAGGCACGTGCCACCGTGCCCAGCTAATTTTTTGTAATTTTTAGTAGAGACGGGGTTTCACCATGTTGACCAGGATGGTCAAGATCTGTTGACCTCGTGATTCATCCGCCTCGGCCTCCCAAAGTGCTGGGATTACAGGCTTGAGCCACCGCGCCCGGCCGATCTAACACATTTCTAACACATTTCTGGTATCTGATGATTCTCACGAACTTATACCTTTGAATCCCCTAAGGGAGTGAGTTTTCAGAGCCACAGTGTCAATTTCTCTTCTGTTTATTTATTTAAAAAAATTCCAGTTGAAAATATTTTTCCTTAAACAAATGAAATGTTTACTAAAATGTTTAAGGGATATTTTCTTGATTTTGCTTTTTACAGCATTGTATTCCATGGCACAAAAGTAACTTTAAAAAAATTATCTTCGTGTTTATGAATATTTATGTAAATTCTAAATATCTTGCTACCACAAATAAAGATGCAAAGAATATCCATCTGCAAACTTTGTCCATAAGTGTGTTTCCAGAAATTGCAGAAATTTAAGTAGCATTAAAATTTCAGGATTGAATGCTATAGTTAGTATCATTTTTAAATGATAAAATACATGTGTATGAGAGGATTTATTTCCTCACACTACTGTTAACAGAAAATAGCAATCTAAAAGGTTGCCCATTTAACAGGCAAAAATGGTATTCCATTATTTTACTTTTCCCTTGTTGCTAAAAACATTAATTTTTTTTTTCATGTCTTTCAGTAGAGACGGGGTTTTACCATGTTGGTCAGGCTGGTCTCGAACTCCCGGCCTCAGGTGATGCACCCACCTTGGCCTCCCACAGTGCTGGGATTACAAGTGTGAGTCCCTGCACTCGGCCCAGGTGACATTTTGATGAGACTTTGGGCTTTAAACTTTTGAGTTAATGCCAAAATGTCTTAAGACTTTTGGAGTTATTAGAATAAAATGAATTTTTTTTGTATATGAGAAGAACATAAATTTTGGGAAGCAGAATCAGAATGTTATGGTCTGAATTTTTGTGTATCCCCAAATTCATGTTGAAATCTAATCCCCAAGGTGATGGTATTAAGAGTTGGGGACTTGGGAAGGTGCTTAGGCCTTTGGGAGGCCTATGCCATCATGAATGGAATTCACTTTCTCATAAAAGAGATCTGAGGGAGTTTGTTCACCCTTCTGCCAAGAGCAAACACAGCAAGAAGGTGCTATCTTTGAAGCAGAAAGCAAATCCTCACCAGACACTGAATCTGCTGAGACCTTAATTTTGGACTTTCTAGCCTCCAGAACTGTGAATAATATATCTTGGTTGTTACAAATTACCCATTTATAAGACATTTTGTTAAGCAGCCCAAATGGACTAAGTCAGTTCTCTTGTTTTTATCTCAAAGGCAAAGCTTCTAACATTTCACCATAGAGCATATTTGCTAGCATGTATCAAAGAAAAATTCCTTCTCATTTTAGCCATTAGTTTCTTTTGACGTCATAAATGGATATTTAATTTTATTAGATGCTTTTGTTTTTTGCTTTCCTGATAATCATATGGTTTTTCTACTTTATTCATTATTCATTTAAAATGTTTAAAAACCTTGAATTCCTGGTGTAAACCAAATTTGTTTATGATATTTTATCTTTTTTAATTGCTAGATTTATCTATATTTTCATTGAGATTTTAAATCTATGTTTATAAATAATATAGACTTACAACGTTCTCTTTTTGTAATGACCTTTTCAAGTTTTTGCATTAAGTTATATTGGCCTCATAAAATGAGATGAACATGATTTCATCTTTAATAATTCTCAGGAACATTTAATGTAATACTTGTATGATTTATTTCTTTAACACTTGGTGGAATTTACTCTAGCAGCCACATGAAATAGGATTTTTCGGCAGTGGAGGCTGTCTATGAGATAGATATTCAAGTTGTCATTTTCGTACAAATGTAAATTATTCAGAAGCTTTGTAATTACTTTCACAGTTCCCTCATGAGGGAAATGTGTTCTTTATCAGATCTATTCTAACAACCTTCATCTTCTGAACCAGGTGACACATCTTTATAGTCTCTGAATTCTGAAGCCCCTTTGTCTTTACAGGTCAATCTGTAGAGAAGGGTACTCAGAAAATGGCTTGAGCTCAGTTATTTTCATGGTAATTACTTGGGCTAGAGAATAATCATATATTCTTACCATATCGAATAATGAAACAATACACTGTCCCACAGTCCATTCTTCCTCTCCCTTCATCCATCAACTGTTATTGCCAGCTTTCCCAGCAAATAATATTCTAGTCCAGAAGCAGGCACTCAATACTCTATGGTCACATATGTATGGTCACATATGTCCTCCATATCCCCCTAAAGAAAACTCTTTAAAAGATAGTTTTTTAAAGAAAAAAGATAAGACTTTTTTCCATGTACCGCTTACTGATGGTTTCAAGGCATTCTCTTGGAGCTTATAAGACTCAGCTTAGGAAGTACAGAAATAGAAGTGAAATATATAAAGGAATGTATTCTTTGTTAAAAGATTCCAAATAAGCATAGAAAGATGAAGTATTCAGGAAACGGTACTGGCACAATTCTTAGTCATCAGGAAAAAATATAATTTAATACTTATTTCATATCATATATTTAAATAAATTCTAGATCGATTAAAGCTTTAAACATACAAAAGAAACAAAAAGCATATTAGAAAGAACGTAATTTTTAAAATATTTTTATCTTGAAGAGAGAAGGGACTTTTAAAATATGACACAAATTCAGAGCCATAAAAGATAACAAAAAATATAGTTGCAAAAAATTCTTTAGAGTAGAAACCACCTTAAACAAAGTCATAAAACAAACAAAAGCAGGAAAGATCATTGCAAATTACATTAAAGAGAAAGCTAACTCCCCTAATATATAAACAGTTTTCATAAGTCTCTATGAGGAAGGTCAGCTTTATAGACAAATGGACAAAGAATAGAAACAGCATGTCACAAAACGGGAAAAGATGTTCAATTTCACTCAAGGTATAAGAAAATTTTTACTGATATTATAATAACATACTACTCTGAACGAACTGACCAGGATGGAAAATTTAATTATACGTTGTTGTTAAAAAGGTGCTAGGAAAGTAGACATTCTAAACATTGCTGTTGGGAGTATAGTTTGACACAACCTCTATGCAGGGCTACAGTCTAGGAATAAGGATTAACTGAAATTAAATTACAATTCAATGGGAATAAAATCCAACTTTCAAAAATCTGATATTTGCTTGAATTATGTTGTTCTGACCATTCAATATTTTCTTAACCCAGACTGCCAGAGGAAATGCAGATACTTTCTGGAGGAAAATATCATCTAAAATCTCAAATTATAATGTTAGTTTCTCAATTAAAACAACCAGAAACACCTAAGATAAAACCAAACAAACTGGCATACATGAACATAATATAATATAATCCAAAACTAAGAAATGTTATATAGACTAGATACCAAATATGGAAGTATCAAACACATACTTAAAGTAACACACTTTTAAAGGCATATATTCAATATGTTCAAAGAAATAAAAGAGTGATAATTTAGGAAGAGAACAGGATGTTTAAAAATAATAAAATGAAATGTGTTGAACTGAAAAATAAAATAGCTGAAATTGAACTTCATTGGTGGATCTACCATCAGATTAGACACAGTTAAAGAGGGAGTTAGTGAACTCTAAAGGATAAATCAAAAAGTATCCAAAATGAATTATAAAGAGAAAAAAGACAGAATAGAAAAATAATAAAGTATAAGTGTAATACAATCCTAACAATCCCCTACAAACATCAAAATTGGGAACACTATCACAGGTTTGACTTCAAGAAAGAACAAAAAACCACAAAGTAAATTAAAAAAATTTTTCTTATATATTGTTTAATCTAATAAAAATCCAGTAAGGGCTTCTTTTTGTTTTTAGGACTTCAGCAAGGATCAACTAAAAAAATCAAACATATTAGCTAAATAATACAAATCAGAAAAAAGTTTAATTACTTACATTCCATATGCTGAGCTTACAGCAAGACTAGTAATCTGTTGCGGAGGTTCGCCATCTACCCATACCAATTGAATAACAAGTTCTGCTTGATATCCTGGAGGCATCCGCACTGGCCGTGTCTTAACACTTTAAAAGCAAAAACAATTCTGTTATATACAGTTTAAATAAACATGGCCAATAATTATCTTGAGAATTTACATAGAATCATGCTACAGAAATATACAATACCAGGCATTGCAGACACATGTAGATGGAGGTGCCTTCTAGCTTTCTCAAAATACACTGAGCCACTTATGATTGCTTAGTTAATTCTTTAAGTGGACTTCCAGTCAGGTCCACAACTTTAACTGGCCTTTATCACTTCTGAGATTATTTTATTTTTATTATGTAATTATTTTTCTAATATATGTTACATATATGTCAGTTATAAAGCATAACCATAAAACAAATGACAACCTACCACCCAATGTAAGAGTTCAACATATCTAGCATCTGAATTCCTAGTTTTCTTTAAAGTTGTTTCACTGGTAGCCTTTTTTATTCCAACTCACAGCAACGCTTATTCTTTCAGTTATTGAGTTAAAAAAAACCTTAAAGTTCTTCTTGACTGATATTCTTTTCTCATACTTCACAACCAACCAATTATAAAATACTATTGATGCTCCTTTCAAAAATATATCCATTAGGTAAAATTTTATAATGATGTTTCCTCTTTGTAGATTTTCCTCCAAGTAATATTTGCTTATATTTACTTCTTTTTATGTACTTTAAAAGTTTTGAGAGAACAATCAATGATTACAAAAGTATAGCATCTGCTAATTGTATGAATTTTGCTCCTAAAATCTTATCTCTAAGTTTTCCATCAGCATATTTGTAAGAAATGAGTAAACTAGCTAAAGTTTTGTGTGTGGCAAATGTAGATATGCAGCTCAAAGAAATTCCCTGTTTAGGTTTAATTCTCCAGCCAGCTAACACTAGAAACATTTATTGATGGTATAGAAGCAGGAAATAGTAATTTATACTCTTACTAAAAATCATGAAAACAATAAAATATTACCATAGGGTTTCTTAACTTCAGGTTTTATTTAACATGATGCAAATCTTTGTTTAGTTTATTAACAAACAACAGTTTTAAAAAAGAAAGATTGTGTAATATACTAGCAATCAGGAGAGAAATTCTTTTTTCTAATATAGTATTCTTGTAGTAGATAGTAAATAATTTTCTTTTTGATTCCAGGAAAGCTAAAAAAAATTACATAAACATACTTTTAAAAAAATCATTATTTTTTTTTTTGGAGACACGGTCTTGCTGTTGTTACCCAGGCTGGAATGCAGTGGCAAGACCATAGCTCACTGCAACCTTAAACTCCTGGGCTAAAGTGATTCTTCTACCTCAGCTTCCCTGCTAGCTGGGACTACAGGCATGTGCCATCATACCCAGCTAATTTTTTAATTTTTTGTAGAGAGAGGGTCTTGCTATGTTGCCCAGGCTGGTCTCGAACTCCTAGCCTCAAGCATTCCTCCCACCTGAACCTCCCAAAGTGTTGGGAATACAGGCGTGAGCGATCACACTCCATAAACACACTTTTTCATTTGGAAGGTATCAAGCAAGTGGCCAAGTTTCTGCCCTGTTAAACTTCCCATTCTATCAAAGCCATGTTTTCTTTAGTGTCCTTCTGGGAAGGAAATATATAAATAAGTAAATGAAGGATGAAAATAATTTGCCCTCTTTATAGATATTCAAAGAAAAGACCAGAGTAATCCCTGGAGAATTGTAGATCACTTGACAACAACTTAATAATTAGAGAAATTTAATTTTATTTGTCACAGTATCAAAGACTGATATGATTAACATGTAAAATTGTTTTAAAATTTGGTAGCAACTCTTACTTGAGGCATGGGATACTGTCCTTTGTTACTCCTTCACTAGCAACAGTGTTAGTGCTCCCGGAAAGACTCCTTGAAGAAGGAAGCTGGGCTGACAGATCTGGAAATGGAGGACTTGTTTCTGGTTCGGGGGTAATAATATCTTCAACATCATACTGAAGTCGTACCTCTAATGACTTAAAAAATCAAGTTTAAATTTAAGTTGCAATAATAATCATCAAGTCTTAATTTAATGTAAGTCATAATAAATAATCACATTAAAAGATTTGATAACTTTTTAGGAATCATTCACACAGTTTTTTTCAAATTAATACGTTCAATTTCAATTTACAGTAAAGTTGAGAACTATTTCATACTAATTATCAATATAATTATCAAGTAGTTAATTATATGAACTGTTCAATGGCAATCACAAAAATGTAAATTTTTAAACTTAAGAATTAAAAGAAAAATACCTCGGTGAAGATAAAGCTTTTATGTAATAAATATACTTTAAGATACAGTATAAATTACAATTTGACATACAATAACAAAAGGAGAAATCGGTTATGGTTATTCCAATTGCAAACTAAACTTTTTTCATATATACACACAAATATGTATGTGTGTGTAGAGTGTGTGTGTTTGTATGTGTATGAGAAAAAATTACTGTTTAAAGCCTTTTAGTATAAAAATTTTCCAAAAGAAATTCCATATTTTTGGTTGTTTGTTTTATTACTTTGGTTCTTATTTAGCTAGATCAGAATTACTTATAAAAAGCATATAATAATTTATATAGGAATAAAGAGGTGACCTAAAAACCTTTTTTAAACTAAAAATTTTTTAAACCTAAGTACTTTATGACTGCATTAAGTGCATTAAATGATTTAATTAGAACTGATTTTATAACATATATTTACTTTATAATGTAAAAAATGAGCATTTTTGAGACTGAAAATTATTACTTACAAAAATGTCATTATGGGAATATTACCAAAATTATTGTCATAATTAATTTAAAACTACAGAAAAACCTCTAGTGGTGGCAATACAGTTACCAATTATTGAGTGCTTACTACAGTAAGGACACTATTATAATGTCTTTATACAATCATCACAAGAACCCTATGAAATTGGTATTTGTATTTCAAGTTTATTTTTATTTTCCATATTTATTTACACAGGGGATTATACACATGATGAAACTGAATCACAGCCACATTCTACTATTGACTTATGACTTGCTCAGAGTCACACAGATACTTATTGGGAAAGCCAGAATTAAAACCTAGGTTTATCTGACTCCAATGCCTGGCCTTTTAGCTACTATGCAATAGAAGGATAATATTAATTTTAGCTGTTGAGGGAAAAACACTTATATACATTTCTATAGTAAATAATCTTTATCTTCTGGTAAAATAGGCAAGGTAGAGAAGAACAGTTATTTACAGATGGCTTCATTTATAATTAATTTATCCCATAAAAATCATCATTATTTTGAATAAGCAGAGTATTTCCTTGATTTAAAAATTAAGATTAGGTAAGATTGCCCCATAATTAAATCCACCCCATAAAAATGTTGCTACATAGAAAAATCACTAAAAATAACCTTATTGTAGCTGCGAAATAATCATTTATGGCAAACAGTTGATGAGAAAATGAAAATCAGATGAACTTAAAAATTAATAAAAGTATAGAACAAAGCCTGCATTAATTTGATTTTCATACATAAAATAAATCAATAACTATATGTACAAAACCTATATATTTTATTAGTATATACAGAATAATATATAGGTATATATTCTACAATATATACATATTTCAAAACATCATGCTGTAGAGTTGACTTATTTTGGCCAGGTAGATGCAACTCACATAACATAAAAAAGAAAAATGCGAAAATTGTGACATGTTTAATTTGTAGCGAGATTAACTTAAAACTAAGCTTTTTTTGATATTGAAAAAAATACCAAGTTTTGATAGAGAACTCTTTTGGCCATTTAAGCCAAACCATTTATTAATATGTTATAGTAAGTAACAATAGTAATTTAAAATCCTATGAGTTTTATTACTGGCCACATACTGCACACTTGATGAAAACCATACCAAGTAGTAGTCAAATCTATGATAGTGGCTTTCTTTTAATAACAATAAGTGTGAAAGTTAAATTTTAAATAACTTACCACTATTTCTGTTGTAATTTCATATCTGCTAAATCTGTAAATTATGACATATGCAGAGACTCCTGATACACAAAATATTCTGCTCTCTGGACACCAGTAAATCATCTGAATGGCAAATGGATCTTCCTCTACAATTTCATATGTTTGTTTTCCTTCTCCTAACTTCTGTTTTTCAAACACTTTTGAAGTTTTTAGCTTGTACAGCATCTGCAGAGTTACTATAAGACATTGAAGCACAGTTATGTTTTAATTTAAACTTAATTATTCGATATTATTAAAGCTTTTCCAAATATATTTGCTAAACCACAAAAGTAAATCTAAGTAGATAAAGTGAATTATATTTTAACTAGTAAGCATTCAATGCCGTGCTTTCCTATCAGTATAGTAGCTAGGGGGAGAGCACAGGGAAAAAATAAACATTCCTTGAATACACTATATACCAAGGAATATATAGTGGCTTTCTTCTATCAGTCTCAGAAAAGTCTCATGTAGGAAGTATTTTTATTATAATTTATTGTTGAAAATATTGGGGCTCAGAAAGTCTAAAATGGAAATATTGAAAATAATTCTTTCCTAGAGGAGACTCCTCCATTCTTTATCTCAATTTTCGCCTTTGATTGCTAGAGAGGGTGATGATATTCCTGGAGGGTTTACTCCTCTCAACAAATTTTTAGACACTCCTTGAGATAAGAAACATTGTAATTTACCAGCTAGCATTATTGGGAGTCCAAGAATCTGTAACTATTTGAGAAGGGATCTTTTCTGAGTGGCTCTATGTCAAGAAAGGGTCAGATATAATATCATAACTGTGTTTGTGAACTGTTTTCAAGAATATTTGGGAGAATATCTTCCATTAGAGATCATGATGATAACTCTCTGTAAAAGACCTATGATTCTACAAATAATCCTTTGGTAAAATTTTAAATATCAGGAGTTCTGAGAAAAGTGCATAATCTGAATCTAATAATGAGAAACATTAGTTAAACCAGACTGAAGGACATTCTTTTTTTTTTTTTTGAGACAGAGTTTCACTGTTGTTACCCAGACTGGAGTGCAATTGCACGATCTCGGCTCACCGCAACTTCCGCTGAAGGAGATTCTATAAAATAACTGGCTTGAACTCCTTAAGAATGTCAATGTCATAAAATGAAGACTCAGGAACTTTTTAAGATTTTTTTAAAACTAAGGAGACATGATGACTAAATGCAACAAATGATCCTGGATTTGTTTTTATTGTAAAAACTATTAATTTGCAGAGAAATCCAGAGATTAGAAAATAGTGTTGTGTCATTGTAATCTCCTGGTTTTGATGACTATATCTGGTTATGTAAACTAATGCCTTTGTTTGTAGGAAATACACAGTGAAGTATTTAGGGGTATGTAATGTTGGACGAACATTGTGTCCCCAATTTACTCTCAAATGGTTAAGTAAAAAAGCTATATGTATATATGTACATGTGTGCGAGAGCAAAATGTATGGAGGGAAGAGAGAAAGAGTAAGAGAGATAGGGAGACGGATGGAACAAATGTAGTATATACTGATATTTGGAGAACCTGGTTGAAAGGTATAAAACATTTCATAGTATTCTCTTTTTTTTTTTGCAATTTTTTGTAAGCTTGAAATTATGTCAAACTAAAATGGTTTTTAATTTTTATTTATTTATTTATTTATTTATTTATTTAATGCACAAGGGATTGTACTGGGTGCTACAGCCTGGCTTCTGAGGTCAGATAGAGTATCATTCCTATGATTATTTATGTTACATGACAACAGTAAAATGATATTGTAGACATCATTGAGGTTCCTAATTAGTAGACTTTGAGCTTATCAACAAAGAGGTTATTTTTAAAAGTCTAACCTAATCAGATGAACCCCTTAAAAGAGGGACTGAGGCCCTCCCTGAAGGTAAAGAGACACTCTCTCTTGCTGGCTTTGAAGCAGCAAGTCACCATGAGCTCTGAATGTGCAAGAAAATGAAGTCTGCCAACAATCACATAAGCTTGGAAGAGAACCTTGAGTCTCATGAAACCGCAGCCCTAGCAAATACCTTGACCTAGCTAAGGTATAATCATAATCATAACATGCAGAAACTGAGATAATAAATGGGTATTAAGCTGTTAAATTGTGGTCATTTATTATTCAGCAATAGAAAACTAAGATACATGGTACTATATACTCAGTTACTCAAATTCACTTTGCTTTATGTATTAGTGTTTCACAGTTAGCAAACTAAGTGATTTTTTTAGACATACATTAAGTTGGAGATATAATCTTGATTACAGCAAAAAATATTAAACATGCTGTGATCCTTTGCAATTTATATTCTGAATGTGATAAAATATTTACAAAGTAACTTCTCAAAATATTATTATGCATATTTAAGAGTGTTATGCACTCTAATAATTAAAGTGTTAAAATGTCCTCCACATTTTAAAAGCCAAAAAATGACTTTGAGGTGTTGGGAAAGGAACAATGACATCACTATGCAATGAATTTTGTTCCAGGAGCAAACTCAGATTTGCATGAAACGATTCATCAACAGAAAATCTATTGGCTTTTGGAGTTTCTCTTTAGGCACTTGCTTTTTACTATGCAAGGTCAGAAGGGGGCTTCAGAATGCATGGGCTTAAATCTTTTAATCCTTTTCTCTTGCTGCTCATAGTTTGCTTGCTTGCTCAAGGAACTCTACCTTGTGGGATAAGAGTATTGTCAATATTCCACCTTCTTCCTCTGCTTTTCGGTTTATTGCAGTCTTCCTCAGAAGCCATTCATTTCTGTTGCTTCAGACATCACTTTTATGCGCTTCTTCATTGGTTTCCATTTCTATTCTCCCTACCTGCTGTATATTTTTACTTGAATTTTCTGGTGTTACTAAAAATTCAAAGCTATCTTATATTCCTTATTTCCAAAAGAGTTACCTACATCTTCCTGGTTACTCATCTTCAGAAACTTAGAGTCACTGTTAACTTGTTCTTCACTCCTATTCCTGTCAAAAGTTAACTATCTTCCAAAACTCACACTAAATGTTAATCCCATCAAAATATCTTTTCTGGATCTACCTGGTCCCAGAAAGACTTTCCTATTTCTGACAGCAAATAGAATCTGGGGTACTGCATTTAGAGTTCTTAACATATTGTTTTCCCTATAGTTATATATATGCATTTCTTTATCTATTCTCATGACTACATTTTTCTGAAGGGTATATATGAGTATAATGAAGTCTTAAGTATCTTTTCATGTTTTTCAACGTTGAGAATACCTTACTTATTATTCCTTAAGTTACATAATTCTCAAGAATTTCATAAGCGTTCCTATACTTATCAAATCATTTGATCTTCGCAGGATGCAGTAGATGAGTAGGGAAGAAAAGTGAAGACTAGAGGGTTAAAAACACTTGGCTAAGGTCACACAGGTAGGAGGTGAAGGTAATTCCTTGAACAGAGTTAATCTGACAAAGTTTGGTACTTTTTCTGATGTATCATGCCTCTTGTAGATATAATGGGTTGCTGACAAAGAGTGACTTAGTCTGGTTTACTTTATATTATAGAAGAGAAGTAAAAATAATACTTTAAACTGCTCTAACAATGTAGGTAATAGATTTTTGTAACAATAGTCCTATATGTATGCTAAAAATATATCCAAAATGGTAACTGTCCAAACCAAAAAGTGGTGGCTGGCTATAAGTAAATATTAACCAATTGGTTTCTGTTGTACAGAAACTTGAAACTTACTTGCAGAAGCATCCCAAAATTTTATTGATCCATCTGCATGACTAGATGAGAAATAAATTAGCATTAATTAAGGTATACTAAATAAAAATCATAATCACTCCAAATGTACAAAAATTTGAATTGCTGTTAATAAAATTTTGATTCAAAAACACCACAATGTATGCTAAACCATTTCTAAGCTTAAAACAATGGCTCACTTCTTAAACAATATACTAAAATCTAAAGATTAGAAAAAGAACAGTAATTCCTTAGATTTTACTGTAAAAGATTATATGTGTAATAAAGAACAATTAAAAATGGCCTGTGGAAAGTGAACAACATATTTTCATATAAAATTATTTATATTCAATAAAAAAGATAGATAATTTTGATATTACTATAAATATGAATTGAATATCATAGCAAAATTAAAGTTTCAAAATATAAAAGCAAATCACCAAATATATCTAGAGTTGCATAATCATTTGATAATAATAAAATGTCAATTCTATAAAAATTCATCTAGAAAATAGAAGAGGATAAAATACTTCCGTCTTCTTCAATACTTCAATACGTTTGATGAAGTCAGCATTACCCTGACACCAAAACCAGATAAAAACATTACAAGAAAAGAAAATTACAAACCGATATTCCTCATGTGAATAGGCATAAAAATTGTCAACAAAATATTAGCAAGGAAATCAAGTAATATATAGAAAGGATAATAAATCATGACTGGGTTTTCTTAGGAATGCGAACCAATTAAACATTAAAAAAAATCAACTACCACATTAAAATTCACCATACTGACAGATTACAAAAGAAAAGCCATATAGTCATGTCAATAAATGCAGAAAAAGCATTTGACAAGATTTATCATTCATTTATAAAAAACTTGCAATAAACTAGGAACAGAGGAACTTCTATAACCAGATAAAAGATGTGTAGGAACAAACTATGGATATCTACTAACAAACATAATAGTGAAAGATTGAATGTTTTTCCCTAAGATCAGGAACAGAGCAAAAAAAAAAATGTTCACTCTCACCATTCTTATTCAACATCTTATTGGAGGTGGTAACCCCTGCTATAGGGAAGAAAAATAAATAAAAGGCATACAGACTAAAAGAGAAGAAACAAAATTGTTTCTATTTGCAGATTATATGGCTATGTAGAAAATCCCAGAGATTCTACAAAAAGAATACTGGAATTCATAAATGAGTAGCACAATTGTAAGACACAATATCAACATACAAAAATCAATTGTATTTCCATTGAATAGCAATAGACGTTTGGAAATTTAAGTAACAACATATTACTACTAACAACAGTGCCAAAACCAAAAAATAGATAAAATCTAACATAATTTGTGCCAGATCTGTATGCTGAAAATTCTAAGATGTTGACCAAAAACTAAGGCATTAACAAAAGGAGATATAAAACATATTATTGAAAATTGTATGACTTATTAGATATTTGTTCCCTTAAATAACATATAAATTTAATATAATCACAAATACGGTAAAACAACTTTTTGTAGAAATAAACAAACTGATGGCCATACTGCACAAAGCAATGTACAGATTCATCACTATTGCTATCAAATTGCCAACATCATTCCTCACAGAATTAGAAAAAAAAAATTCTAAAATTCATATGAAACCAAAAAAGCCTGAATAGCCAAACTAATCCTAAACAAAAAGAACAAAGCAGGAGGCATCACACTACTCAACTTCAAACTATTCTATACTTGGTTACAGTAAACAAAACAGCATGGTATTGGTACTAAAACAGACACATAGACCAATGGAACAAAAGAGAAAACTCAGAAATAAAGCCTCACACCTCCAACCATTTGAGCTTTGACAAGGCTGACAAAAACTAACAATGAGAAAAGAACTCCTTGTTCAATAAGTGGTGCCAGGATAACTGGCCCTTACTTTTCACCATATACAAAATGAACTTAAGATGGATTAAAGATTTAAATGTAAGACCTCAAACTACTAAAACCCTAGAAGAAAACCTAAGAAATATCCTTCTTGTTATCAGCCTTGGCAAATAATTTATGGCCAACCCCTCCAAAACAATTGTGACAAAACAAAAAATTGACATGTAAGACCTAATTAAACTCAAGAGTTCTCTGCAGCAAAAGAAACTCTCAACAGATCAAACATACAACCTACATAATGGGAGAAATATTTACAAACTATGCATCTGACAAATATCTAATATTCAGAATCTGTGAGGAACTTGAACAAACCAAAAAACAAACAGATAACCCTATTAAAAGGGCAAAAGACATGAACAGATACTTCTCAAAAGAAGACATACAAACAGCCAACAAACATGAAAAAGTGCTCATCATCACTAATCATCAGAGAAATGAAAATCAAAACACAACAGGATACCATCTTACAGCAGTCATATGGCTATTATTAAAAAGTCAAATAGTAACAGATGCTTGCCAGATGGCAGAGAAGAGGAAATCCTTAAACCTTATTGGTATGAATGTAAATTAGTTAAACCACTGCTGAAAGTAGAAAGCAGTTGGCAGATTTCTCAAAGAACTTAAAATAAAGCTACCATTGACCCAGCAATCAATCCCATTACTGGATATATAACCAAAACAATTGAATCATTATACCTAAAAGGCACATGCAATCTCATATGTTCATTGCCATGCTATTTATGATACAGCACATGGAATCAACCTAGGTGCCCATCAACAGTGGATTGGATAAAGAAAATGTGGTACATATATACCATAAAATACTACACAGCCATAAAAAAGAATGAAATCACATCCTCTGCAGAAACATGGATGGAGCTGAAGGCTATAATCCTAAGTGAGCCAGAGCAGGAATAGAAAACTAAATACCACATGTTCTCACATATAATTGGGAGCTAAACACAGAAACATAAACACAGAAAGAATAGACACTGCAGACTAGTAGAGTGGGGAGGGGAAAGATGTGGGTTGAAAACTACCTATTGGGTACTATGCTCACTACCTGTGTCCAGTATGCCCATGTAACAATCTTATACGTATATCCCTGAATCTAAAATAAAATCTGAAATTTTTTAAAAAGAAAAGTAAAGAAATTAGAACAGCCAAAGCAATTTTGAAAAATAAAAACAAAGTTGGAGAACTCAAACTACATAACGTTTAAGTCTCACCCTAAAGCTACAATAAAATGTTTGTGCTGGTGAAAAATAGACACATATATCAATGAAACATAGTAGAGAGTCCATAAATAGAACCATATGTATGTGGTCAACTGATTTACTTTTTGAGAGAAAGTTAGTCACTGAGTGGCTTACTCTACTTTGTTAATAGCTTTATTGAGATATAATTTACATAACTATAAAATTCACCCATTGTTAGTGTACAGTTTGATAATTTTTAATAAATTTGCTCAGTTGTCACATTGACATCATCACATCATCATCCAGTTTTAGAACATTTCTATCATCCCAAAAAGTTACCTCATGGCAATATGCAACCCTCTTTCCCATACTCAGTAGATTCACAACGATCTACTTTCTGCCTATGTAGATTCTTTTTTTCTTAGAATTTTTATGTAAGTGGAACCCACCTACTGTTTTATGTCTGCATCTTTCACTTAGCATAATGTTTTTGAGGATAATCTTTCTTACATGTATGAATAATTTGTTTCTTTTTATTGCTAAATACTCTACCCCTTCAACAAATCATCTGGGTTGTTTTCAGTTTTTGGTTATTACAAATAAAGATGCTATGAGTGAATTCATATGTTTCTGTACTCTATACACTAACTAGATATTTTTAAACTTTATTACTAAAAAATTCTGCAGCATGTTGGTCTGAGACTCTACATACCCCAACAAACTTTAATTCTATTTTATTTTTCGTTTAATATTTGATATGAAAATAACAATGTATGTAACATAGATTTAATATACAGAATATAATCATATTGAAACTACTCAACCAAAAAACATTACTAATAATGTGCATCTACGGATGTGTGGCCTAACAGAGCAGTCTCCAACCTTTTTGGCACCAGGGACCAGTTTTGTGGAAGACAATTTTTCTACAGACAGCGGGTGGTGAGAGATGGATTCTGGATGAAACTGTTCCACCTCAGACCAATTGGGCCTAACAGAGATACAAAACACTACACCTATCAATAGGAGAAAAATAATCTGCTTAAGCACACATGGACCCTGTTCCAGGATAAGTAACATGTTAGGTCAGGGGTTCACAACCCTTGGACCACAGACCAGTACCAGTCCATGGCCTGTTAGGAACTAGGCCACACAGCAGAAGGTCAGTGGCAGGTGAGTGAGCATTACTGCCTGAGCTCTGCCTCCTGTCAGATGAGGGACAGCATTAGATTCTCATAAGAGTGCAAACCCTATTGTGAACCACACATGCAAGGAATCTAGGTTGCATGCATCTTATGAGAATCTAATGCCTGATAATCTGAGGTGGAACAGTTTCATTATTAGTAATGTTCTTTGGTTGAGTAGTTTCAATATGAACATTCTTGGTTTTGACCTTGTCTGGGGTACTGTGATTTCCTAAATGGTTTCTGAAGTTGTCATGTCTTTTTGGACCATATATTGTTATAAAGTGAGTGTGTCTGTGGAGAACAAGATCTAGGCTTCTTATTCTACCACCTTGTTGATGTCACTCTCCATTAATTTTTTTTATAGATTTTTTTCTGTCTTTTTTCTTTCAAATTATCTATGCTGTTATATTCAAAGTGAGTATATTGCAGATAGCATATAGTTAGGGATGCAGAATATCATATAATTTTTTTCTTTTTTTTTTTTGCCTTCCTGTTACTTGAATTATTAAAGCGCTTCCATTTTGCTGTGTCAGTAGTGTTTTTAAGTGTACCTCTGCATAATTTTCAAAAAGTTTTTTTTAGGCATTACATTGTATCACAACTTATCACATTCTACCAGTGTCATCCTATTACCAGTTCAAGAAATATATAAAAGCCTTAACACCCTTTACATTTTTGTACCCTTTCCCATTTATAATTGTGTTAAATATTTCCTCTGTATACATTTAGAACCATCCCAGACAATGTGATTATAGTAACATCGGACACTGTTACTATAATCTTTGCTTCAACCATAAAATATACTTTTAAAAAGAAAGACATGAAAAGCCTATTTTATTTATCCATACTTTTGTTTCTGGATTATTTCTTCCTTATTGATGAACCAAGGTTCCTTCTTTTTTTCATTTCCTTTCTGTGTACAGAACTTCCTTTATATATTTTTTAAGGGTTGATTTGGTGTTGACAAATTCTCTTAGTTTATTTCATCTGAAAATGATGGATTTTGATCTTAATTTTGCCTTAATTCTTGAAGGATATTTTCATTGGGTATAGGATTCAGGGTTGATAGATCTTTCCTTTCAGTACTACAAAAACATTCATTTCCCTTTTGGCAGGCAGGGTTTCTGATGAAAAATCTGCTGTCATTCAAATTGGTTTGGCCGTATAGGTTAGATGTCATTTCTCTATTGTGGCTTTCAATATTTTTTTTTTATTTTAGTATTTGCTATTCAGAAGTTTGATGATAATGTATATTGGTATAGATTTATTGGGGTTTGCTTAGCTTCTGGAATCGGAAAGTTCATGTGGTTTTGCTAAATTTGATAAGTTTTCAGCCATTATTTCCTCAATACTTTTCAGTCCCACCCTCTTTCTTCTCTCTTCCTCATTTATCTCTGTTGACACAGGAAAGCGGATGGGGAGTGGTTTCATCTAGCATGGTGCAAAGCCCCAGCTCCCTACTTTGCTTTATTTGACACTCTGGGGAAGTTGGGGTACCTAGTTATACCCTGATAAGGGTGGAAGTCTACACTCTTCACTTGGCCTTTACTGGAATGAGTTGGGGTGGGGCCACAGTTGTGTGTGTGGGAGGAAAGGTGTGTGTGTGTGTGTGTGTGTGTGTGTGTTGTCAAACCCAAGTAGAAAGAGTATTTTCTAAATGTTTTCTGTCTTGATGCACTGCCCCTTTCTTCATCCCATGGTTAAAAAGAGCTAGATTTTGTTGGGATTTTTCATCACAACACAGTTCTATGTTACTAACTTCTTTAGCTCTAATTCTTGGATATATGAGGCAGAAAGAAAAGTTAGGAAACTGACTTCCGTGCTATTCTTTAAGACGTAGGAGTCCTACCTGGTCTGACGCTTCATATTTCCCAGTTATCTTATGTTTGTCTTATACATAATATCCAGAGTTTTTAGTTGTTTAGTGGGAAGAATAGGAAAAAGTATATTTACTCTATTTTCCCATTAGCAGATCCCTATTATCTTTGAAATCTTATATTTATAATTAGCTATATCTCTATTTTTGTTCCTAATATTGAAATATCAAGTGGGTTGTCATACAAAGAAGTGTTATTTCTGGTGCTGTAAATTTTGAGGAATATTTAACCACCTTGTACAGATACAAAGCAGTGATTCCTGAATTTGGCAAAAATAGATAAATGTTTGTAAGAGTCTTTGTAAAGCTAATATTCTGTGATTTCCAATGAAGACTAATATCTGATGACTTCCCCCTTTGACATTCTCCTGGCAATGCAATCTATGCTTTCTTTTTCTGTTATTATGTTTCCAATGGTTTGGTTATATCTTCTGTCAAGATTAGAATCTTTGGATAGAAGCTACTTCTTATGTTTTTACTTTTACTTAAACTATTATTCTGCATATAATACAATTATGGAAAAGCATCAAGACTCAGTAAACATCTTTTTGTTGATGAACTAATAACTCACAAAACACATCTACTTACCCAGTAATAATAATTTCTGGATATGTTTGTGCTCCAAGGTTCCAAGCTCCTCCACTAATTGGCCACTCCTAAATAGATTATCCAGAAAGAATATATTGTATATATGTTCTTGTATATATGTATATACAATATACGTATATTGTATATATGAAATATACATATATTTCAAATTGCTTAGATTTCTGTTTAAATGACTTAGAAGTTTAAAATGAAAATATCTTAAAATGATAAAAAGTTCACTTACACATAAATAACTGTAAAATAATCAAGAATGAAGTGTATAGCTGTCTTTTAATTCTTTCATTGAACAAACACCTCTAAATGTACAATTCCATCTCCCTTAAAAATATAGATTTTAACCAATCTTAACATTTATATAAACAAATAAAAGAAGTACTTTTAATTGTACAAATATAGTGTTGCTACATGTGTCATATAGTCTGTGTACCACCAAACTACTGTGGTGCCATTTAACATAGAATCTATGTAAATAGCATCTCTCAAAGTTGTCCATACCAACAGACCTGGGAAAATAACAGAAATCATAATAGATGATCTGTTACAATTGTAAATATTTGAATCTTGTAGTTAACTATAACAAAAACTCTAAAATGTTATTTAACAAGTGACTTTTAATAATTATGTGTCCCAAACCATTAATTTAATTATAAACTGAGAAGACTTGAGTCTTTTTATTTTCTTAAAACATAATCTTTCATCTAAAATAAAGGTTATTTTATGACTCGAATATATATTAAAGTACATACTTAGTATATAAATACATATAATAGATAAGTATATCTCAGTATATAATTACATACCTAATATTTAAGAAATTTATATTTCTATAGGCTTAAAGCTATGTAGCATTTAGGAAATTTGAATTTAAGAAGTTATGTCTTTAATAGATGTTGGCTCATAACTTAAAAAGAATTTAGTTCAAGTCCTCCTGTATGGAATTTCAGAAAATAAAGCAATGGGAAAAAGTATAGCCATGTGATATGAATACAAGAAAAGTTATTTATAATTTCTACTTTTACCTTATTACTGTAGCCTTGTTTTTTATGCTTGACTCCTATAGAATACAGTACTAGAATCAAATCCGGAGGACAATCAGCAAAGTATGCTGTGCATGTAACTGGTGATTCATGAATGTCCATGGGATATGGATTTTCAAAGATTGGAAAACTAATAGATAAAGACAATATATCAGTGTTATTTTACAAAGGTAAAATAAAAAATAATTTTGATAAAGCCCTAAAATGTCTCTAAATATTTACTAAAAATTTCACTTTTTTTTCAGTATCATAAAACAAGGATTGTATGAACAAAAATGCTCTTTTTATAATAGTAGTTTATAAAATGTAATATCGATATTAGTAAAATTTTACTAAAACTCAAAATTTACTTCTCATAATTCCAACATTCCACAGTGGCACTGCTTTGCTAATATAGATACAATGAATTCTATTAATCTGAAACTATTATATAACAAGCTGACTTAGTTAATTCATTAAAGCTTATATAAACTAAGCACTTTACCTACATACAATGGTAAATATTTATTTAGTATCCTTATAAATATTAATATAAAAGTAAAGTTTGACTTTTTTCAATGGGAGTGCTACGGTTTGGATGTTTGTCCCCTCCAAACCTCATCTTCAAATGCAGTCCCCACTGTTGGAGGTGGAGCCTAATGAGAGGTGTTTGGCTTATGGGGGCAGATCCCTCATGAATTGATTAATATCCTATCTCAGAGTCGAAGGAGTTCTCCCTTTGTGTTTATTTGAGAGCTGGTTGTTAAAAAGAGCCTGGGGAGCCTCCTCCTTCTCTCCAGTTTCTTCTTTCATCATGTAATCTCTGTACATACCAACTCAGCTCCCCTTCACTTTTCACCATGAGAGAAAACAGCTGAGGTTCTCACCACATACAGATGCCCAATCTTGTAAACAAAATAAACTTAAAAAAAAAAATAAATAAATTACCAGCTTCAGGTATTCCTTTATAGCAACACAAAACAGAGTAAAACAGAAAATTAGTTGAGGAGCGAGTGTTGTCATAAAGATACCTGAAATTGTGGAAGCACTTTTGAAATGAGTGATGGACAGAGGTTGAAGGAGTTTGGAGAGCTCAAAAGAAGATAAAAAGATAAGGGAAAGTTTGGAACTTCTTAGAGATTGGTTAAGTAGTTGTGACCAAAATACTGACAGAAATGCAGGCAGAAAAGGCCATGCTGATGAGGTCTCAGAGAGAAATTAGGAACCTACTGGGAACTGTAGCAAAGATCCCCATTGTTATACCATAGCAAAGAACATGGTTGCATTGGTGCACTGTAGCAAAAATTTGGCTGCACTGTGGAAGTTTAACCTTAAGAATGATGACCTAGAGTATCTGACAGAAAAATATTCTAAGCATCAAAGTGCTCAATAAGTGGCATTGTTACTTTTAACTGCTTACACTAAATTATGTCCACAGTGGAATCACCTAAAGGACAAAATTATAATTAAAAGGGAAGCAGAGGATTAATATCTGAAAAATTTGCAGCCTGGCCATGTAGTGGAAAAGAAGAGTGTTTTCAGGGAGAAATACAAGCAACTACTTGCTAAAGAGATTAGCATGACCAGTAAGGGAGCAAAGAACTAACAGTCAAGACAATAGAAAAAAGGCATTTCAGAAATCTTTGAGGCCACCTATCCCATCACAGTCCCAGGAGCCTAGGAGAACAGAACAGTTTTGGGGGACAGGCCCAGGGGACCACTGCCCTGTGCTCCTTTCGGATGCTGTTCCTTACATCCCTACAACTCTAGCTCCCACTGTGGCTCAAATGGCCCCAGCTACTACTGGGGTTGCTGCTCCACACGGCACAAGCCATAAGCCTTGGTGGCATCCACATGGTGTTAAGTCTGCAGGCACCCAGAACACAAGAGCCATGGAGGGTTGGCAGCTGTCCCCTGGATGTCAGATGACACAGGAACAGAAAATGAAATACCGCATGTTCTCACTCAGGCGGGTGTTGAACAATGAGAACACATGGACACAGGGAGGGGAGCACTACACACAGGGGTCTGTTGTGGGGAATAGGGAGGGACAGCAAGGGGTGGGGCGTTGGAGAGAGATAGCATGGGGAGAAATGCCAGATATAGGTGAATGGGAGGAAGGCAGCAAATCACACTGCCACGTGTGTACCTATGCAACTATCTTGCATGTTCTTCACATGTACCCCAAAACCTAAAATGCAATAAAAAATGCAAAAAATTAAAAAATCATATAAAAAAGCCTAGGTGCCCAGGCTAAAACCTGCCACATAGGCAGAGCCACCAGCAATGTGCAACCTCAGTCTGGAAAAGCCTCAGACATTCAACTCCAACAAATTAAAGCAGCCACATGGGCTGTGTGCAGCAAAAGCATGGGAACAGGACTGCCAAGACCTTGGGAGCCCACCCCTTGCACCAGTGCTCCCAGGATGCAGGACATGGAATCAAAGAAGATTATTGTGGAGCTTTAAGGTTTAATATATACTCTGCCACGTTTTAAAGCTGCATGGGACTTGCTATGCCTTTATACTGGAATGGAAATGTTTACCCAGCACCTATATAACAATTGTTACCTTAGAAGTAAAGAACTTGTTTTATGTTTTATAGGCTTACAGCTGGAAATAACTTACTTTGAGTCTCAGATGAGACTTTGGACTTTAAGCTTTTGAATGGATGTTAAAATGAATTAAGACTTTTGAGACTATTGGAAAGGAATGATTATATCTTATATGTGAAGACATGAGTTTTGGGGACTTGGGAAGAATGCTACGATTGGGATGTTTTTTTCCCTTCACAGGGGCAGATTCCTCATGAATAGATTAATGTCTTCCCTCAGGGATGAGTTCCCACTCTTAGTTCCCTTGAGAGCTGGTTGGTTGTTTAAAAGAGCTTGAAATCTGTCCCTTCTCCCTCTTGCTTTCTTCTCACCATGTGATTTCTGCACATTCTGACTTCCCTTCACCTTCTGCCATGAGTAGAAACAGCCTGAGACCCTCAACAGATGCAGACACCCAACTTTGGACTTTCCAGATATGAGAATTGTGAGCTAAACAAAACATATTTCTTCATACATCGTCTAGCCTAGAGGATTCTTTTAGAATAATATAAAAAGGACTTAGACGAAGAGGTAATATATAGGAAACTTTTAAATGTTTTGCAGGTATAATGGAAAAATGTGTGTCATAGGTAGGTTTGTGTGTATGTGACTGTGCATATCTTAAAGATCATTTCCTACATAAACTAGAGAACACAGTTGGAATGAAGACTTGTGGACATAATAAATTTCATATTCTCAAACCTACTATAACTTAAAAAGGAAATAAGTATAGAATCAAATTTAAAATTCCCATAGCTACTTAGAACATCATATGTACCTGGCACTGTACTAAGAGGAAATTAGTATTATTCTATGCTATATCTGTTCCAAGTCTGTGTCATCATATAATTTCTGACACAATGTGTTTTTTTTTAGGATAGGAGGTAGCTGTTACAGATACAATTTTCTATTTGCTGTTGCTTAGAGATTGCCATATTATATTTTTTGCCATATTATGAGAAACTTAATTTAAAAATTAGGGATTTAGTCCAATCTCCAAAGAATATGGGGTGTGTGTGTGTGTGTGTGTGTGTGTGTGTGTCTGTTTTGGCAGGAGTTCTCTTTCTACCAATCTGAAATACTGCAGACAGTATCTCAAATAAGAATAGTTACATATGCAAAATCAGGTTAAAGAAACAACTCATGTTTAGTTAAGTGACAAGTAGGTTAAACTAGATGTACCAGAGGTTAAACTAGATATATCAGAGATTCTCTGTTTCAGAGTAGAAATTATTAACATTCCTAAGATTAAAGAGTTGTAAGATTAATGTCTTCTCTGCCCCTGAGATCCTGGTCTTCTGTGTTGTCTGCTGCAATAATACAAATGGATTCCCTTGAAGACCAGGCCTACAATTTAGAATTTGATAATAGCAAGAAGTAACAATAATAGGCTCCTGACAAAGTGAAATATCATGAAAATGTCTGAGAAAATTTATTTTAGTACATTGGCAAGATTAGGCAAAAAGATATTAAAAAGAGAAATAACTAAATTTCCTACAGGAATTTAGACATAAAAGTATAACTGATTATTGTGAAAATGGAAATGAAGATATGAATCCAAGAAATCAAGAATAGAAATAATTTGTAAACCCTAATGCTTGCCTTTGTGTTGGGGATCAAATGGAAGGACAAAGATAAAAAGAAAAAAAATTGAAAATGATTCCAAAGTTACAACTTTTTTGACATTCAACATACCTGAGAGGTAACCATTTGGAGGGAAAGAGAACATACTCAGTTTTTGACATGTTAAATTTCCTGTAATAGTCAATGAACTGGGAATGCCAGAGAGATTTTAATACATGCTAAAGATGGTAAAATGTTAAATAAAAACTTGTAAGCAAAGTGTTAATTCACATACTTATATAGGGTAATGAAAAGCATAAGAATGTATGTATACATAAAATGGTAACTTTTCTGTTATGCATACTCTATCAGAATAAAACAAAATTTAAATGAAAGAATATATACTAAAGAAAATGAACATGAAAGGTAAAGTATAATGGGTCTGCAAGGATGTTATATACTTAGACTAAGTATGAGTAACCAACAAATATGATGTAGAAAGAAGAGTTGAGTATCAATGAGATCAGAAGAGTATATTTTAATAAGACTTATGTTAAAACTTCTCATAGGAATAAGCATAAATACTTACATCTACACAAAACATGTAATGTTGATAAATAGGGCAACCAAGCAGAATTCCCAGTTATAATGATTTTATGGCCCAAATCCTACATCCCTTTCAAAATACTGAGAATAATATCTGCAAATTAGTATGAGGAAGAAGCCTGGATCTTACATTTACAAATGACGTGGAAAGTAGAATTCAGACTGATTTATTCAACAAGAATTTATTAAAAGCCTACTCTTTGTGGAGACAGAGCCCCTCCTTCATGGAGTCTACAGCCTAGTGGGGAGACAATCTTTAAGCAACAGCAAATAGAAAATTGTATCTGTGTCAAAAGCTATGAAGTGAGAAATGTGGGGACTATGAGAGCCCACACTAGCATATGTGACCAAATTATATAGTTAAGGAAATATTTTTTTAAATAAGGAAGTGATACCTGGCTTGAGAATATTACAGATAAGATGATAATAAGGAGAAAAAAAATGCAAGTTATTCCAGGCAGAGGAGAGACAACTTACAAAATTGTGTCATAAATGTAAGAGGCTAAAAGATCAGTAGGTGAAGAACATATAATGATGGAAATCAGTTTCATGCTATTACCATTATAATAAAAACGTATAGTTGGAAAATTTTTACTGACAATGTAAAGGAGTGAGACCACCACTATAATAGCAGTATTCTACACTTGTTTCAATTGCCTGTAACATAATGAAAAAAAATGTAAAAGAAGGCCCCTATCTTCTCTGCCCCTGACAGGATCCTGGTCTTCTGTGCTGTTTGCTGCAGTAGTGCAATAATACTTTTATCATGTGTCATTTTCCATTACTCAGCTATCACACTGTACAAGTTTTCATAATGATAGCTTTTCTTTAAGGAAACAACAGAAATGTGATCAATTTTATGTGTCCTGAGTCTCCAGTGCTTCTATCCAAACATCAGGTGCTGATGCCTTTAAGTTGTCTTACAGTTTTCTGTGTTTCCCAAATTCTCCTGGTTTTATTTTCACCATTAAATCAAAGTGCATTTCTGTAATTCTAGCAAACCAATATTCAGACAAAGAATATTTCCTATATAAAGAACACAAATGCCAATTATCTAAAATAAATAGAGTTTAAAAGTGTTAATCTGTACATGGATAACTTACTTGCTTTGTGTCAGATCAACTACAATAAGATCTTTCTCCAGAAGTACTACGACAGCATAAGGTTCTTGAAATTCTACAAGTAAAAATAAAAAATGAAAAGTTTTCATATTGAATATTTATAAAATCAGCAAAATTGCATTTCTTTTATCTCTATACAAATATTATTTAAATGATGTCAGAAGATCAAACTGTGAGCCAAAGTAAGACGTAACAAAGAGCACTTAAAAATATGCTGTTTCTCAAATTTAATATTAAGATCACTAAAAAGAACAAGAAAAAATTAAAAGTAGCATAGTATAGAGTTAAATATATCTCAATAATTATGAAGTGGTAATAATACTGGATTATGTGAAGACAGTGAATCTGTCACCTGATCTCACAAACGTTTATCTTATTCTTCCATACCTTTGTATTTTAGATCTGATATTATGCCTACAAGGAAATGTACTGAGGGAATAGTATCTCTGCTTCTCTGGGATATGACATATATTCATATCTGTATAAGAACAACACTGCTTATAATTAAAAGTTTACTTTCAATTCAATATAATTTGAAATATATTTATAGGTTGTGTAACCACATCAGATCAATCCAGTTGAACTTTTACATAACAAAGCTCTTCAGTTGCCATGGACACCCAGATTGAAGGCCACATAACCTGAACATGCCCAGATAAACCAAGCATGCAACCACAGGTAGAAACTAAGTGCCCAGAACAAGGAACAAGGACTAAAATTAGGAAGCATACATTGCATGCCAGGCTGCAGGATCCAATCAGATAGAGCCCTGGTATCACCCTAGGGAAAAATCCAGTCAGAGCACATCTCCTAGCATCATCCTATGGCAAGAGCCAATCAGATCATGTCTCCTCATTACCCTCTGAATATAAAACCTTCCCTAATCCCCAGCTTGGGGAGACAGATTTGAGATTTGTCTCTTTGCCAACTCACTCACAATAAACCTTTCTTGCTGCAAAATCCTGGTGCTTCAGTGTTTGGCTTTCCATTGTGCATGAGCAGAGACCCAGTTTAGTTCAATAACAAAGTTGGTGAACCAGATGGGACTTCTATAAATCCTTTCAGGGCAATTTTGCTTGTGGCTCACCAGCTTCCTATCAGGGATGAGCTCCACTTGAGGGTCTGAGCAGCTGTCCAGGTATTTTACTCGGTGATTTGCTCTTGGTTCCTGTCTCCCCAGCATGGCCCTGCTGAATTTTGGTGCTTTGATTTTCATTTTTGCAGCAAAGAAAAGTTTTGAATTTTAGAACGTATTTTTTTCCTCTGTTTTATTTTTTGGTGAATTAATCTCTATGCAAGTGACCAACTCTCAGCTCCTTTCTTATCAACTTCCACTAGGGAGACTTATCAACCTCCACAAGGGGACCTAAGTTAGGGATTTCAACTTTGATTGAAAGGAGAATAAGGGGATATGCTCACGTGGAACTCTTCATTATAAATTTGACTAGGAACTTGACTGGGAACTTGGAACTTGGATGTGTATATGTATACACATTAAGTTTAGGGTTTGTCTAGTCACTTGTTTAATGCTGTTAAGACCACTTAGCAAACCCTGAACAAGCTGCCAGTGGTGGCAAAGGAGGCCTCATTCAGGGTTGCTGTCTATTCCAATCAACTAGACTGAGCAAATATTTGCTTGATTATCAGCTGGAGGTCAATCTTCCCCATCCAGAATGGATTAAAGTTGTCTAAAGCTTACAGAGACAAGTTTGAGCCTTGTCTGTTTGCTCTCATTCAGGGGATCAAACTCAGAGCCCAAAACGCTGTGCTTTGTCTTGTTTGATTGGCTGGTTCTGTTTCTGTTTGTATATTTGTATTCAGATATGTATAGTAATATTTGGCTTAAGCAGTGGCTAGTACTTTGATGAAACAGAAAGAGCCTAATTAGAAAATTATTTAATTGAGGGACTACATTGCTCCCTCCAGCCCTTTTAGGTACTCCTAGGTGACTAGGAGATACCCAACCCATTGGTGATTCACTGGGAAGGAATCTTCATAAGCACTATATTGCAGACCCAATATATATATATATCTCCAGAGCAGGGCCTTGCTCTAGCCATCTGAGATAAACCTCCAAGCAAAATGGGGAATGTTAATTGTAGCAGGACTCCACCAGCACAAGCCATAATGGTACAACAGTGGCCAAAGAAAATGTGTCTTCCTTTCTTGAGGTCTTTAAAGCCTTCAGGCAATACACTGATATTGACCCTGAACACCCAGGTAACCTGAGAGTTTTATCAGTCACAGTGTCCCTGGTATAAGTAGAAACCTACAAAAAGTAGAAAAGGTATTGGGAATATCAGTATCTCAAGTGGTCAAGATTGCCTTTAAGGCATTTAATCGTCTTGTTCAAGTCCATAAAGGGCAAAAGCTATGCGACATGAGACAACAAGCTATGTTGCTTGCTGTGGCTGTTGGCCACAACCAACCAAGATGCAAGATGGTGCATGGTAGCCAAAAACAAATGGCCATGGGTAAGACCCCTGGGACCACACTGCTAGCCAAAATGGCTGTACACTCTTGAGGCCACAATGTGCATATTGTAAACAAGAGAACCATTGGAAATGGGAGTGCCCTAACCATCCCAGGCAAGTGGAGGAAGAAGCTGTCCATTGGTCAGCCCACCAGATACCACAGTTTTCTGAAAGTGATTAAAAATAATGGGACTGGGGATCTTCTATGATCTAAGAACCCTGGGTAATAACTAATGTGGAAAAGAGACTTACGGGCTTTCTAATTGACAATAGAGCTAACCTTCTTCCACTAGCTCCTCTCTTCCTGCTGCTCTGCCCCACTACTTTGCTACTCTGGTTTCTCTAAAATTCAGTAAGTGGTTTCAGCCATGTGGAACAGATAAATTTAAGCTAAAATTGTTAGTTTGACAGAGACAAAGTTTGAATCTAACTATTCCTTTTAACTAGTGAGTTATGGCTGACATATAGCTAAAGCTTTAAAAATTAAAGCTACGTTATCATTATTTATAGCTGGTTGCATGTACAAGTCTGGTTGTATTTATTTATGATACCAAATTGGCTTATAAATAGAGGAGTACTCATAAATTAAGCAAGTAAGACCTGGCATTTTTCAAGTTCACGTGACTTAGAAATCTTTTGGCAAATGGGACTAGGCTAAGATTGACGGTTTGTGTTCTCTGAATTATTTTGTGTCCTCTAAATTATTTGACTTTAAGGTCATTACTTTTATAATATTTGCCTGATATGTAGTTATATAAAATAATTAATAGATAAATAATTTGGAATGATGACTAGATTTCTCTAATATCTCAGTTTTTATAAGTAATATCAGCACACTGCTAAACATACATAAATAAAGATAAATGGGATAAATAGTTATAAATAATTTTTTATGTAATTTGAAATCCTAAATTATAGATACTCATTAAATTTAGAAGTAATTTTCAAATATGATAAAAACTGAAACAAATTACTGAACATAAATAGGGTTGTCTTTGGTTTCTTAAATTTAATACAAAGACTAGAAGGACTAACAGAAAGACTAAATATCCATAAAACTGTTATAGGTAAATATGTTTTCCTGACATTATAAAATGGTTCTTGGCCAAGTATGGTGGCTCACACCTGTAATCTCAGCAATTTGGTAGGCTAAGGTGGAAGGGTTGCTTGAGGCCAGGAGTTTGAGACCAACCTGGGTAGTAAGGCAAGACTCCATCTCTACAAAAAACAAAATAATTAGCCAGGTATGATGACATGCACCTGGTGTTTCAGCTACTTGGAAGGCCAAGGTGAAAGGATCACTTGAGCCCAAGAGTTTGAGGCTGCACTGAGCCATGATCATGTCACTGCACTCTAGCCTGGGCAAAAGAGCAAGACCCTGTTTCTAAAATTAAAATTAAAATTAAAAATTGAAATAATAAAAATAGAATGGTATTATCTATTAAATAATAATATGTAACAGGCAATTCAAGATTTTGTGCTTCCTATGTTTTCAATAAAATTTAAGGTTACTAGAAGCTAAAAATTACAACTGATATAAAAATTCTGTATATAGAGTATGACAATGTAAGGTTTGCTTAATAAGAGAAAAAAGTTATGAGAAAAAAATGTCTTTTATTGAGAAAAAAATATTTTTTTTCTAATTTGAATGTTATCAAAGAGAGTATTAAAATGTGTATTTAGGAAGGAAATAGACACAAGATAGACAAGATGTAAATGGGGGGGTAAAGAAAGTTACAAATGTAAAGATAAGAGAAAGTCTTGCATGACAAATCTTTTTCCTAGAGTGACATGACTGGTTACTTAAGAAGAGGAAGTATAGAGTAAGGCAAAGTGTCTTAGTAATCTACAGATGGTCTGAGTAAATCATGATAAGGTTCATGAATAGGAACTTATGAAGGAAATTTTGAGTGTGATTAAGCTGGTTATAATTAAAATAAATTATTTGTGACAGTCTTTCTAAAGAATAAACTTTGATGTTAAAATACACTGATACAAAACTTAAAAACTTGGTCTCCTATGTTAAAACAACAAAGAACAACAAAGCTTGCTTTTTTTTTTTTTTTTTTTTTTTGAGACAGAATCTCTTATTGCCCAGGCTGGAGTGGAGTGGCACAATCTCAGCTCACTGCAACCTCCACCTTCAGGTTCAAGTGATTCTCCTGCCTCAGCCTCCCAAGTAGCTGGGATTACAGATGTGTACCACCTCACTAAGATGATTTTTGTATTTTCAGTATAGACGGGGTTTCACTATGTTGGCCAGGCTGGTCTTGAACTCCTGACCTCAGGCGATCCACCCACTTCGGCCTCCCAAAGTGATGGGATTACAGGGATGAGCCACTGCGCCCAGAAAACAAAGGTTTCTTAAAATATTAATTGCTTTCAGTAAGATTGCAAGAAGTTTTATTTTTAATTCTGAAATCTGTTTATTTAACAACCATCCTCTGAATTACAAACAAGATTCTATTTCTGTCACATTTCTTCATGAGAACTGCCTAGTTTCTCTGGTTTTACTTTTATCCTGAAGTTCCAGAAAAGCAATGTTTTATTCAGTATAATTTGATTGAGTACTCTTGGCTTT